TATAAAAATCACATTACTAAAAAAATTGTCATTTAAAAACTTGTAAAAATGCACCTTTTAGTTAAAAAACTATAGTTATTATGCAATAACATCTAAAATAATATTTTTATATGAAAAAATTATTGTTTTTGAAGTTTTTATTAAATTTCGCTTTATTTGAGTACCTACATCACATAATTTTGAAAAACTTTTTTTTTTAATAATAATAGGGCCTGCTAATTTTTGATATTATAGTTGCCTGTGGAAGACATTGTTCAGCCTGTGGAAGACATTGTTCAATCCATAAAAGTAAATACTTTCCTAAATTAGTACATAAAAAAACAACTTTCTAGACCATAGCCAGGTTAGCAACTCTAAAAAAAAAAATTTATGACCCACCCTAATATATATATATATATATATATATATATATATATATATATATATATATATATATATATATATATATATATATATATATATATATATATATATATACATATATATATATATATATATATATATATATATATATATATATATATATATATATATATATATATATATATATATATATATATATATATATATATATATATATATATATATATATATATATATATATATATATATATATATATATATAATAACCAAAATAGATTGTTGACTAGGTTGAATAGGTTTTTGACTATTTAATTTAAACAGATTGTTGACTAATTAATCCATTCTTTGTAAATGATCGATTATTTTAATAGTTAACAATGGTTTTTCGAATTTATCAAAATTTTGTAAATTAAAACAATAGTTTAAACTATTGTTTTAATTTACATTCAACACAACGTCTCAATTTATTAAAATGCGTCTCAATTTATTAAAATGTCTCATTTCATGGAATCTTCAGTGAGCAAGCAATCAAAGCTTTTCACTTATATTTCAAGTGAGTATCAAGACCCAACCATTCAAAATGAAAATATTTTTTGTTAAGGACAAAAAGTTTGCTTTTAATAATCTTAGTGAAGGCAAAATTAAATTGCTAATTAATTTATACATAGGTATTACTGAAACACTCTAGACACAAAAAAAACTTTGGATTTTAGTTCAGAAAATTAAAACTACTTTTTTTTTATTCAAATTGTATGCATATTCAACTCTCAAAAAGATTTTATAGGATATTTTCGTGACGTGACGTTAAGGTCATAAATCATCAAACTGTGTTTGTGATGTTTTTATATAAAAAAAAAATTTTAGTACATGATAATGTCTACTATATCATTTAACTTATTTATCATCAAATAAATCATCAAACTGTGTTTGTGATATTTTTATATAAAAAAAAATTTCAGCACATCATAATATCTACTATATCATTTAACTTCTTTATCATCAAATAAATCATCAAACTGTGTTTGTGTTGTTTTTATAAAATAAAAAAAAATTTCAGCACATAATAATGTCTACTATATGATTTAAATTATTTATCTGTAAGAAATTTGTTATTCTTAACAACGGCATTGCTTAGACAAAAACAAAGCATGGTATTTTTTTATTGTTATTTTAAATATTGCGATTTATTTTTAGCAATATAACTTATGCAAAACAATGTGGTCAGCAAAATTAACAATTAAAGTTGCAATTAAAATAAAATTTTTTTTGCAAGTTTTAAAAATTTTCCATTTATTTATTTTTTCGAAAATAAAAGTTTTTTTTTTGCAACTGCTTAACGCGGATATTTTCTAGGCACTTCAAAATATTTTATATTTTAAATCTTCGGTCTTAGTTTTTTTTTAGAGTCATCAATAAATTGAAAGTGAGGGGAGGGGATTGTGGCTTTGTGATGAATCGTATAAGATTTGTTACAAAAGAGAGAGGGTAAAAAATGGTTTATTATGAATGAAAAAAATGGTTTATTAAAAATGAAAGTTTATAATTATAAATGCGTGATGTAGTTAATGGACGACCCCTTTTCTTTGGTAAAAGGTAAAAAATGGTAAAAAATGGTTTGAAAAATGGGTAAAATGGTAAAAAAAATGGTTTATTAAAAATGAAAGTTTATTATTATAAATGCGTGATGTGGTTAATGGACGAAAGAAACTTTACGATACCTTTTTTTTTAATGTAGTGTGAATTTTTAATTTGACGTCTGTTAAATAATAAAAAGTAACTTAACTGTTTTCTTTTTAAAATAATTATTTTTTCTTAAAGATTACAATAATACTTTATTGATTAAAATATAATCACAAATAGTTTACTGGTAACTATTAAATATTATGACCAGCAATGTTATATTTTAAAATAACACTAATATATTATATTCCTTCACGAGGAACCAACTATGGAACTACTAGCGGTCATGCTATACTATTATAGAGTCTAAAATAACAGTTTTAAAAAAAAGAAAGTTTAACTAAAAGAGTCACAAAACTGAAAGAAAAGTGTTCAGCCATAATCAAGTAAAAAATTTTGATAACATAAACACAGTTAAATACTGTAAATTAGTTATTGATATTAAGGTTTGTTATTATAAATTTATTATAGTATAGATATGAATGTTATAGTTTTTGGTTACTAGCAAGTACAACCAAGGGACGATTCTAGGAATAAAATTCCTATTTTGGGGGTGGAGGAAGGAGGGTAGGGTTATGATACCCAACCCCTATCTTCCCATAGAATTATCCCCGAGTTAAAAACACTCAGTTTTTTCTTTGAGTAAGCTTTAAACTCTATTAATGTTAAAAAGTATGAAATGGTAAGTTAGAACTACCTTCGTTTAATGCAATGCCAGTCAAATTAGCGCCCACTCGTGTGTAACATTATAATAAAAGAAGCACAACTAAATACCAACTTAATACCAAGGGTCTTATTACCATAAAATTTGTTAATTTTGTGCGTATTGTACACATTTTTTTTTCAGTATTGCAACAATTTTGTTAAAAAACTGTATTTTTGTAATATTTTGGAACAGTTTTTGCAAACATGTAATAATCCGACTAGAAAATTTGTTAAGCACATTATAAGATACGCAAACTCAGTTTTTGGGATGGCGCAGATATGGGTCATTTATGGTTACAATCTTTATTATACGTGATATAAGTGTTATAAAGTATTAAAAATACCATACCATAGGTAGCCACATAAAATAAATACCATATCCACATTTACGTCATCCCATTAGTTGAATGTAGCTATCATTTAATGACACAACAATTTTTTTACAACTTTTTAACCAAAATTGTATGGACGGATTACTATTTTACCAAAACCTTATTACTGGGTTTCCGATAAGAAAATTTGGTACTAAAAACGGTTACAGAGCATTTGACATTCACTTTAAGCAAAATAATTAAAATTTGATAAAATATAATAGATAAAAGTTTATTAAACAAAACTGCACAAAATCTAAAAATTTATCAGTCGTGAATACTGAAATTTTTGCTTCAGTTTTCAGGTTTGTTGCCGTAAAAACGAGTGGAGCCTCATCCTAAAAGACCCTGTCTATAAACAGCGTCTTTAGACAACAAGCCTACTTTTTCCATTAGGACCTTTTAATAATTTTTTAAAACTAATCCAAATTTTTTAAGTTTATTTAGTTTATTATAATTTTTAGATTACAGTTTTTAAAACTATTCTTCCCAAAAGAAAAATACAACAAACGGTATTTTTACAAGATGAAACAATTCAACCGTAAGACAAATATGGTAAAAATTGCGCTAACAAAATAAAAAAAAAAAAAAAAAAAAAAACAGTATTGATGGTAGTCTACGCAAATCCATAAAAATTAATTATTACGTATATTAATTAAAATATAACATATTAATGCCAACATTATTCCGATGAGTGTCAACTTGGAGGCCTAGCAATGTCATTTTCAGCAAATCCTTTTTAGCAAAGTTTTGTTAGATCTCTTTTAAGATCTACATACGCGTGCGTGCGTGCGTGTGTGTGTGTGTGTGTGTGTGTGTATGTGTGAGTGATTGAGTGAGTGAGTGTTTGCACATGCATACGATCATTTACAAAAATGTATACTTAATTGGTTTTCCACTAGTGCAAAATCCATGTTCCAAAAAACATTATTACATTTTTTTTAAACTAAAACTGGTAGCTTTTATTTATTTTAAGTATTTTATAGGCTTTTTAAGCTTGGTTTCCAATAATTGTAGAAATACAATTGAACAAAAATTGTACGTTTTTGTTGTAGAACAATCAAAATTTGATTTGATTCTATTTCCGTCACCTTTGTTTTACAACGCGAATTTTGTCGTACAACCGACGTTATGTTGTGTAACTTACGCAAGAAATTATTTCCATTGGAAAACACTATTGTTGTACAACTGTTATACGACATTTTTACAAGTATTGGAAACCAAGCTTAAGTTTTTTTTGTGTTTTTTCATGCATTGGTACGTATCAATTTGGCTGATAAACAGGTAATACACTTAAAATGTGCTTTTATATGTAACCATTATTATAAATAATAAACAAAAATTTATGACAAGAATTTGCGTAGTCTATAAGAGACTCCCGTTGACTTGTAAAACTATTTTTAAAAAACATTTAAAATATTTTCTATAATAGTTTTAAAGTCATAAACTTAATAAAAGCAAAAACTTCTCACTTCTTTCGTATGTAATCAGTAAAAATAAAAAAAATTATATTTTTAATAGATAAAACAAAAGTTTAAACTCCAATCGAGTAGTTAAGAAGTAACCATCATTCCACAATTCAAAATCAATTCAAATTCTTTAAAAAATTTGTTTAAAAAAAGTTGTTTAGAATATTTAAAAAATTGTTTTACTTTTAATACCCTTAGAAATAGAAGAGGGAAAGTATAATAAAGAGGTTTTACGGAAAAAAAAAAATACATTTATAAAATTTAGTACAAAAATAGATTTTTGATAAACAGGGTTTAAATAATTCTATTTTGAATTAAAAGAATTAATCAGTTATAGACAATTATCTCCTGATGACGTTAAACCAAAATAATAAAAATACCAAAAATAGCGCAAGTAAACAATATTAAAAACGCTCAAGAGCTGCTGTATGTGATTTTAGTCAAAACATTTAAAAAGAAAAGTGCTGCAGACTTTTAAAATAAACTTATTTATTTTTGTTAACTTTTAGGAAATGATAAATTCCACTGAATATTTACTTCAAAATTTATCAAATAATGAATCGACAGAAACAGAAAATAAAATAGCTGAACTAATACCAATCACTTTGTTGTTTCAACAAAACTCAAAAAAATCATCTTGGTCGACACTGCGAAACATTTTGAAAGAAAGAGTATTTATGAAAAAAAACTCACAAAATTTTGTTACATGCAGTGCCAAAGATTATATTTCTGAAGCGTCTTTTGTTACCCAACCATCTATACCAAGGTCTGTATCCAAAACACCTAATTTATCCCGAAGATATACAGCTGAAAGCTTTGAAGATGCTATTTTTCTTCCGATACTTCAAAATGATTATAACGCATTAGTAAAAAATTTAAAAACATATAGTTCTAATATTAACTACATGAGAGCTCCAGGGTTGACACCATTGCATCAAGCATGTGCTGTTGGAAATTTAAAAATGGTTAAAACTTTAATTGTTCATGGTGCGGACACAACTTTACGTACGTGGTCCAACCTTACACCATTATTAATTGCAAATTTGTTCGGACATTTTGACGTTGCTTTATTTCTAATAAATCAAGGAGCTAATACCCGAGACATTCAAGATGGAGTTACATTTGATTCAAAATTAGCTTCAACTGTTACTTATAAGTTTGAAAAAAAAACTCGCAGAGGATCCTTTAGCTCAGGTAGTAATCTATAAAATGGTTTTATGAAAGGTTTTTCGTTGAAGGGTTCTTGGTTGAAAAGGTTCTTCGTTTCAGCGTATACAAATAGTTTTTTGCAAAGTTCCAAAAATTATTAAAAACTGTATTTTTGCATCAATGTTTTTTTGATAATTGCTAAAACTTTATTTTATATTAAAATAATGAATAAATCTAAAACAAGTTTAGAAAAAGTTAAGCAAGTGACAGATGTACATAAATAATTAAATATAATGTCATTTACAATTGAATATGGTTTTGTTTGTCTAAGTTTTAGGTATAAACAAATAGCTTTTAAATACTAATAATAGAAATATTTCTCTTATGTAAAATGTGATTTTATGCAAAATTTAAGAACTTAAAATATAGTAGCAGACATAATGCAATCAAAAACAATTGAAAAATGCGCCAAAGGGCTGCCAACCAAGTTTAAATAAAAAGGGAATTAATTATAGATAAAAAGGTAATTAATTATAAATAATAATAAAAAAAAGGAATTAATTAATAGTTCATTCATTTATTAAATGTTTACTCCATAAAAATTGAAAAATTGATATTATTAAAATAGTATAAGATGTGAACAATCTAATTTAAATTTTTTAGATATAATGATTAATGTAGGGTTTGTACGCATTTTATCTGTCTAATATGAAGAGACTTGTCTACAATAATTTATTGCAGACAAGTATTGTAGCTTATGGTGGGCATCATCTTTATTGTCAACAAAGATGATGTCCACCATAAGCCGTACTACGGAAAGTACACAATATTTATTTTCTATATAGGTTTTATCTGTATATTAAACAAAGTTTATTGTTATATTTTATAAATCTCGGTAAGCACAGGACGTTTAAAACGTTTAAATAACTAATTAAAACGGATTTTATCGTTTTTTAAACGTTTTAAAAACGATTTGTGCTTACTGAGATAGAGTGAAAAGTAAAGCAATAAAATAAACAATTTACTGTATTCATTGTTCGTTGCTTTTGTAATGTTTGCGTCTATAAAAGTTGTAGTTTTTATTACAATTTTTAAAATAAAGTTATGTTAATTAAATTATTTTTTATTTTATTTATTACAAAACAATTTTATTCTTAACGGTTAATGGAGGAGTTAATCATAATTGTATGTTTTTGTATGTAATTGTAGCTTTTCTTGCTTGTTTTCATTAATTTTTTCTTTTTTCTTATACTGTTTATTATTATATATACTTATTATTGTTTTTATTATTGTTATTATAATAGTTATTATTGCTACTAGTATTATTACTATTATTATTTTTATATATCTATATAGTTTGTTAGCTTAGTTACTATAGTTTTACTTATTAACTTATAATACTAAGCATAGACTTAATAGTTTATTATTATATTTTCCACTTATTATAACTATAATATTTTACTTATAATCATTTATAATTTATTATTATTTTAATATAAATTGTTTTAATTTATACTTACAACTTATCATTTAACCAATTATAACTTTTTTTTAATATATATATACGTTATTCTTCTTTTACTATATTAATAGTATTTTTTCATTATTTTTTTTAACTGTTAAGTAAATATTATTTTTGTTTTACTATTTTATCAATTGAATTATATTTATATTGTTAATAAATACTATTATTATTTTTATTATTTTTGGTTATATTGCTGTTCATATTACTCTTTGTTTCCTTATTTCAGTTCATTCAATCATTTTATTATATAAACTGTACCACTTAAATGTCTACTCACTGCAAAGATTTCTTCAAGAAAATTAATAAAAACCATCACTACCTTCAATGTTATCATTGCCTAAACCTTTTTCATAAAAAATGTTGTCGTCTGAATGATATTGAATTTAGAATATTGAAAAACTCTAAAACATCTTGGTTCTGTATTTCATGTAGGGAAAAAGTTTTTCCATTCAGTACTTTATCAGATAAGGAGCTGCACCTGCAAACAATAAATGATAAAGTGATTCATATTAATGAATTCGAAAACAACATATCATCTTTCCCAAACACCGTACAGCCTAATCTTTATAATGAACTTAATGATTTTATTTCCCATTAACTTAATAACAACAATGACAATGACGTAAACCTCGAAGAATACCCTATTAATTGTAAATATATGGAAATAGAAAGTTTTAACTCTTCTAACATCGACAAAAATAATTTTTCTCTTTTTCATTTAAATATTGCTTCTCTTGTTAAAAATTTTGACGAATTAAACTCACTTTTATCTCTTATTAATCATAAATTCAGTATTATTGGCATAACTGAAACTAAACTAAAACATGACATTTTACCAACTATCCCATTAAATCTTACCGGTTATGTTTATGAGCACACTCCAACAAAATCTTATTTTGGAGGAGCTTTACTTTATATATCGAATACATTAATTTACAAACTTCGATATGACCTTAATATGTTTAAACCAAAACTTTTAGAATCTGTGTTTGTGGAAATCATAATTCCTAAAAAATCAAACATCATTATTGGCTGTATTTATCGCCATCCTAGTATGGATATTTCAGAATTTTTTAAATCATATTTAATTCCACTTTTTGAAAAGCTATCTATGGAAAAAAACAAAACTACTTTTTTAATAGGCGATTTTAATGTCGATCTTTTATTAGCAAACTCAGATAATTCTGTCTCTGAATTTTTAGACACTATTGCTTTAAATAACTTTCTTCCCTTTATTTCATTGCCAACAAGAATCACAAATCACTCCAAAACTTTAATCGATAACATATTTTCTAATGCAACTTCTACAAATATTTTTGCCGGTAATTTTACTTCTACGGTATCAGATCATTTGCCCCAATTTTTAATACATCCTCTTTATAGAACCAAAATTAGTTCTCGTAAAAGCTGCATTTTTCGTCGAAATCTAAAACAAATAAATTGCGTCGAGTTATGTAGTGATTTCTCAAAAATTAGCTGGATTAATGTAATCAATGTCAACGAAGGTAAGACTAATAAGTCATTTGAAGAGTTTTTCTCAAGTTTCAATTCTCTTTTAGATAAACATGCACCATTGAAAAAAGTCAGCAATCGTTGCTTATCAAGGGGTTTCAAACCTTGGATAACACGAGGAATCTTGACTTCTATTAAAATGCGAAATAAAATATTTAAAAAATTTCTTAAAGCAAAGAATCCTAATAACAAACTCAATCTAGAAAAATCTTATAAAGCATATAGAAACTTACTTGTTACTCTCACCCGTCGTAGTAAAAAGAACCATTACTCTAAGTTCTTCTCTGACAATGCCAAAAATTTGAAATCTACATGGAATGGTATTAAGAACCTTTTAAACATTAGTTCGAGAGTTAACTCATCTCCTTCATGCTTATCTTCTACCAACTCCATGATACACGACCCCATTAAAATTTCGGAATCTTTTAATTCATTTTTTGTTTCAGTTCCGGAAGATTTACAGAATAAGATCCACTCATCCAATACTGACTTTAATAAATATCTTAAAAATCCTAATCTTAATTCAATGTTCATAAAACCTACAGACAAAAACGAAGTATTATCGATTATTCATTCTCTTAATGACAGCAAGGCTTCTGGACCTAACAGCATTCCAATACCTATTTTTAAAGCTCTTGCAAATGATATCTCTCCTGTACTTTCTGAACTATTTAATCTGTCATTCACAACCGGTGTATTCCCTGATATTTTAAAAACTGCTTCTGTTATCCCAATTCATAAAAAAGACTCAAAACTTGAACGTAATAACTACAGACCAATTTCATTATTATCAAATGTCAGCAAACTTTTAGAAAAACTTATGTATTCTCGTATTTACAACTTTTTAGATAATTCTGCTTGTTTTCATATTCGACAATTTGGGTTTCGCTCAAATCACTCCACTTCTCACGCTCTTATTAGCATTACTGAAATGATTCGTGGTGCAATTGACAGTGGTTCTTTTGCTTGTGGTATATTCATAGATCTTCAAAAAGCTTTTGATACGGTTGATCACAACATTCTAATAAAAAAGTTAAACTACTACGGAATACGTGGTATTGCTAATCATTGGTTTTCTTCATATATTACGGATCGCACTCAGTTTGTTTTAATTAATGGATTTGAATCCACACATAAAGTTATTAAATATGGCGTTCCACAAGGTTCCGTTTTTGGACCGTTGTTGTTCTTATTATATATAAATGATTTATCTTGTTCGTTAAAAAATTCTATGATACATCATTATGCTGACGATACCAATCTTTTATATATCAACAAATCTCTCACGACTATTTGTAAAAAAGTTAATCAAGATCTTCATCGCTTATGTAACTGGTTAAATAGTAACCTTATTTCCTTGAATGTCAATAAAACTGAATACATTATTTTTCATTCCCCTCAAAAAACTATTGATCATATTAAAATTAAAATTAACGGTAAAAAACTTTTTCCATCAAAACATATAAAGTATCTTGGAATATATCTTGATGAAAACCTATCTTGGTATAATCAACTGTATCATCTAAAAAAAAACTTACACAAGCTAACAGTATGCTTTCTCTAATTCGTTACTATGTTCCTATCCAAACTCTTCGAATGATTTATTTTTCTTTATTCTCTTCTCACCTTTGCTATTGTTGTATTGTTTGGGGTCAAAAAAGAAACTTTTTACTTAACAACATTGCTAGTTTACAACGCGCATCTATTAGAATAATGACGTTTTCCCCAATGAGATCTGATATCGAAAAAAAAATTTCTGAACTAAAAATCCTAAAACTCCATAATCTTGTAAAGTTTTACAATTGTCTTTTTGTGTTTAACTTTCTCCAAAATAAACTACCAAGCCCTTTTTCAAATTTTTTTATTAAAACAAACGAAGTTCATAATCATCACACCAGGAATACAGAAAATAGTAAGCTATACTATTCTTTTTTCAGCACAATCAAATATGGTAAGTTTTCCATAAAACAATAATGTATCTCTCAATGGAACCAGTGTATTCCTGCATTAACAAAAAAGTCTAAGAAAAAATATCCACTTGTTACTAATTTTTTACTGCTCAACAGAATTCAATTTAAAAATATATTGTTGGAGTGTATTTCTTTATAATTTCTCTCTGTACTATAGTTGTCTTGTGGTTTGATTCAGTGATATTTTCGTACACGAGAACGAAAACGAGAACGAAAAAAAAACCTTTCGTTTACGAAAACGAAAACTAAAACGAAATTTATTTTAAGAACGAGAACAGAATAAAAACGATAATTTTAAATTTTTGAACGGAATAAAAACTGAATCGAAAATTATTTTAAAACGAAATATTTTCGTTCTAGATTTGAAACGAGTTGAATTATTTGATATATATAATTATTATATTACAATACATTATAATGATATATTATTCGAACTTAATTGAATTTTATTCAATTATGTTCGAATAAGTTTAGTTATGGTATAGTTCGAATATATTTATTCGAATATATTTTTTCGAACTAAAAAAAATCAAACTGTAAGACCAACACATCTACGCGATGAGTTTGAGTAAACTTTTTGCTGGTAGGAAGAGGAATAGTTCAGTATGGAAATGGTTTAAATACGATGCGTCATCCGACAAATCAGTATGTTTAGTTTTACTTGATGGTAAAAAAGTATGCAATACAAAGTTGTGTGGAAAGAACCCAACAAATCTTAAAGTTAGTTTATCTGTTAGAGGATATGTTTTCATTTTGAAACAAACGACTCATTTTTATCATTTTAGAGTAATTATTCAATAACGTATACGAACTTATTTATACATTAATTGATAAACAGATAGATAAATAAACATATAAATATACAAACAAAAAATTATATAAATATGTTTATTTTTTTCTAGCTACATTTAGCAAGAAACCATAAGTCTGTACACGTTGAGCTGGAAGAGTCGGAATTAAAGAAATTAAGTGAAAAAAAGCAAACAGGGATAAAGAGAAAAGCAGTGGATGAAAATGGACCCACTCTTTTAGAATCGTCCTCAAATCAGAACCAGACCTTGATTCAATGCATTAATTGTAGGAATATCGCATGGCCTATTAATTCACACGAGCATAAAATTCGACTAAACTCTCTTATTCAAATGATAATTGCAACATGTAATCCAGTGACATTGGTGGATAATGCGAGTTTTAGAAAGTTAGTTAATACCTTGGATTGTAAATTTTCATTGCCTGCTTCTGCCAAAATTACTAGCCTACTTAATGAAGAATTTACTGTTTTAACGAGAAAACTTCGTGACTTCATATCTGAAGGCAGGCGCTTCACAATATGCCTTGATGGCTGGACTAAAAAAGGTCTTACTGCGTCCTTTTTAGGAATTTCGGTTTGTTTTTTTCACTTCAAATCCGAAAAACCAATACATGCTCTGCTTAATTTGTATCTTGTGAAACATCCACATACAGGTGAACAAATTGCTAATTGTTTTGAAAAATGCCTAAAATATTGGAATATTTCCAGAGATAAAATATTGCTTGTTATTTCGGACAATGGAGCAAACATGGTCAAAGGCATAAAGTTGTCGAGAATGAAAGCTCAAGCTGAACGTGATATACTTATTGAATAAGAAAGTGAGGTTAATGAAGAGCAGATAACAGATCTGGAAGACGATGAGAATATGACAAATAGTGAAGAGTGGGAACATGTTGACTTGATAGTTGATGTAATAGAAAACGTAGCATTTAGAAGATTGGGATGCATTGCACATGTTATACAGCTAGTTGTAAAACTTGCATATGATGGTAAATATCATGGCTTACTTTTAAAGGTACGTGGATTAGTGGGAAAAGTTCGCAAATCTTCTGTTGCATTGGAAAAAATTATCAACAAATGTGGTAAGACTGTGATCAGCGACTGTTCTACAAGATGGAACAGCACTTACTTTATGGTTTGGAGATTTATGGAAATAAAGACATCTATCAACGAAGTGCTTGGAGACCTTAACATTGATTCACTTGCCAATAGCGAATGGATAATGCTTCAGGATTTTGTCAATCTTTTAGAACCTTTTGCCAATGAAACTGATATTCTTCAGACGGATGCACTTTCACTATCCATTGTTATACCTTCAATACTTAATTTAGAATGTCACCTTGAGCAATTTGGAGATGCCAAAGATGTAGCAGTTAAAATGCTTGAAGATCTACGCCGTTGTTTTGCCGTTCTTTTGCAGCCAAACGATCTTAATTTTAATCCACTGCCATGTGCCGCATGTCTACTTGACCCCACATGTGCAATAGCTCTTTTAAGTAATGAGCATACACAAATCAGAGAGTGTGCAAAGAAATACATTTTGTCAGAGGCTAAAAATTCGGTGCAACATGATTTACCTTTAGCAAGTGCATCTACTCTTTCTGTTGAGATTGTTCCAGAAATAAATGGATTAACAAAATGGAAATTTTTAGCGGCAAAACAGCGAGTAGAAAAAATAAAGCTTATTCCAGGTAATGAAGCACAAAATGAACTCAACAAATATTTTATTGAAATAAGGAACAGCTCTATGTGCCAAAATGCTTTAAATTTCTGGAAGATGAGACGTGCTGTTTACCCACATATTGCACCATTAGCTGAAGACCTCATTGCAGCTCCTGCAACTCAAGCATATGTTGAAAGACTTTTTTCAATCTGTGACTTGCTCACAAATGGACGGAGAAATCGAATGTCAGCGTCATTGGAAATGCGAGTTCTCTTAAAACTAAATTCTCATCTAGTCTAGATGATAATCATATAATCACTAGGCCCTTTATTTTTAAAATATATGAGTAATTATTAAAGTCTATACAATAACTATTCATTAGTTTTTATTGTTACCAAATTTAAGGAGTTTTTTTTATACCTAATAATTGAAATTTTTTTAAGTTTTAGAGCAATAAGGACAGGTTGTTGTTGTGTTTTTTATTAAGGGCGGTGGGCGGGGCTCTAAACTTCTAGCCATGGGACTGGGTGTATTACATTTAATTAAATTCTCATTTTTTTGTTTGTTTATAGAACTAAGACTTACTTCTTTTAATTATATATGCCTATATTATTTATAAATTATACTAAATTATAATTAGATGAGATAAAAAATTTATACGACAAACGAAAATTGAACTAAATAAAAACTAAAACTAAAATTATTTTAAGATGAACTGAATAAAAACTAGAAGTAAATTTATTTACTGAACTGAATAAGAACTAGAACTAAAAACTTTGCCTCTAAACTGAATAAAAACTAAAACTAAAATTATTTTCCGAACAAAAATATCACTGGTTTGATTTTTATTTTATTTATTATTTACCAATCTTATATTTATTTATTATTGTTTTATTAATGTTACATTTTATGTTATTATTATATCTAATTATCATCTATGATTTGTACATACAATTTATATTGTATTATAATATTCTTAATATTATTGGTACTTTATTGTTATTGTTATTATTTTGTATTATTACTATTATTATTACATATATCATTATTATTTGTTTAACAATCTTTTCTTCTTTTCTTTATTATTTATATATACAGATATTGAGTTTTTCCTTTTTTTTTTTTTTTTTTGTTTTGTTTTGTTTACTTTAGTTTCCTTTTTTTTTTTTTCTTTCTATTTATTTATTTTTTCGTGAAATTTTTATGTTTTTTAGGTGTCACTCCATTGACTAGTTTGTAACTATATGAGTGACACCTAACCAATTTATATTAATTTACGATGAAATTTGTAAATTTTATTGATATGGTTGAATAAAATATTATTATTATTATTATGTTTTGTTTAACTTAAGAAAAGTCCACTGTTGTTTAAAATAGCCTGTTGCGCTTATTTAGTAACGAAAACTTTCAAAAACTTAGAATATTTTGAAATAAAAAAGTTGAATGAAATCTTCTTTTTCGACAGTTTGGTAATTTTAAAAGAATTACTTAAAAATATAGTGTGTTACTTACAACTTTAAATTTAGAACTAACAATAATCATAATAATATGTTACATAAATATCACATTTTTTAACTTATTTAAAAAAAATTGAATAACACTACATATAGATTATGCAACAAACCCCAGTGGAGGTAGATTTAAACCAAAAAAAAATGTACCAGGGTCTTGTCATACTTTTTTGGACCCATACTGACCTCTGCTTTGATAAAATAACACCAAGAAAAAAAAATTTCGGGGACTAAGAAAAAAAAACATTTTTGTAAAACACACAAAAAAGTATTAAACTATATAAACAGTATTTTACCTTACATGTACAATAAACATTTTATTTGATCAAGAATTATTCCAAGACTATTATATTTTAAAAGCTTTAAAACATTCACAATAGACGGGTCGCAAATGTTTACAATTTAGTAACATGCGCAGTAGCTGGTAGACAAAAACATAAAATAAACAAGAACTCTATATTAGAGTGCTTAATAAAAGTTCTACCTATGTTCTCTTGCTAATCCTGACGAAGAATTTATTTTAGAAGTTGATGTTAGAAAATAATGTTTTGTTTCCCAATCCTTATGGTATTGAGGAGAAATTTTGAAGAAATAATGCTAGTTTGTTTCAGCAAGTCAGTTATGGTGATATATATATATATATATATATATATATATATATATATATATATATATATATATATATATATATATATATATATATATATATATATATATATATATATACATATATATATATATATATATATATATATATATATATATATATATATATATATATATATATATATATATATATATATATATATATATATATATATATATATATATATATATATATATATATATATATATATATATATACAAGACGTTCACGCTTTCTTCCCCACCGTCACGCAAAAATATGTCCAGAGTTCGTTTTGAACCTGGATCTCCTGCTTATTAAGCAAGCGCTCTAACCATTGCGCAACGGCCGCACAAATATATAGTAGAATTAATTATATAGCAGAATTAAATATATAGCAGAATATTACATAGCAGAAATAAATATATAGCATTAATTATATAGCAGAGATAGTATGAAAGCAGCAGAGATAGATAGTATGAAAGCATTAATTATATAGCAAAGAAAGTATGAAAGCTTATGTATCTCTTAAAGGGTTTTAACTATTTTGTCTGTGGACATGTGCAAGATTTTTTTTAAGCTAATTTAAATGAAAAGTTTGAGTTTTGTGCTTTAAAAACAAAGGTAAAAATTAATTTTAGTGAAATCTAAAATATAACTAAGATATACGACCACATCAAATTTTTAACTAAATTAATGTGGTTATTTTTGGTCTTACAAAGTCAAAACAATGGAAAAAAATATCATTGTATGAAGTTTGTATATATGTTCATAAATCCAAAAGATATATTTTAAATGTAAACTACAGTTGTGCTGTTGGGTATGTTTACTTAAGCAATTGTTTGGTTTTTTTACTAACATAAAATGGGCGTGTTTACTCATAGTCATAAGAAATTTCTTATGACTATGGTTTACTTGAGAATTTAAGTTTGGTTTTTTTAATAACATAAAGTTTTATCACGATTATTTAGGATTGTATTATAATTAAATTATGTTAGAGTTATATTAATTAGGATAGTTTGTAATGAATAATCAGAAATAATAGTTAATATAATGAAAACTAAGGTTTTTAATTACTTTTGCTTTAGATTTGGATCAGCTTGCAGTCATATTGCAGCTCTACGTTTTAAAGTTGAAGCGTGCATAAGACTTAAAATCAATAAAATTTCTTGTACAAGTTTACAATGCGAATGGAATTGATCTAAAAAGCGTGTTAGTCCCACAACATTTGCAAACTTAAACTTTTAGATGCCAAAAAAAAAGTTGTTATTCATAAGCACAAGTTATAGGCATTTTGTTTCAATGTTTATTTAATTTTGCGCATCAATTATTGCGCATGCGTTTGATTACGGCAAAAATGTAAATTTTTGCTACTGGGGTCAATGTTTTAAAACTTTTTAACTGCTACCGGCGGAGTTTTTGCTCTGGAATTTTTACAGCCGTAAATTTAAAGACGTAAAATGTTTTTTTACTCAATGTTATAAAACTTTTACCGGTGTAGCGATAAATTAAGACTCCAGGAAATTAGGACTTTGAACTCTTGATTTACCGGGAAATCAAAACTTTGAAGGAAAATTTGACGGGAAAGTTTGATGTTATGAGTCATAATTTCCGGGAAATTATTTGAAGCGGTAAATTTAGACTCCAAGAACTTGCGATTCAAAACAAAAATTTACAAAGAAGTCGTTCTATTCTACAGTAAAAAAATTAAAAAAAAAAAACAAACTGTAAATAGAATTTAGAATAGAATCAAAGTTGATTCGAACGCAAAAGCATATTTAAATAATGGACTATAATTGTTTCATACGTAAACAAATAAATAAATTTTACAAATAAACACAAGTGTGCTGCTTCATGGCGAAGGAACGAAAACATTTTTATTTTGATAACATAGAAGATTATCTTAGGAATAAAAAATACCCTTCTACTATATCTACACATAGTTATGGGATTACGACAATCTTATGGACGCAGGGCAAAAGTTAATTTGTAAGGCTCTTGTTAGCCATGAAACTTACCAATCAGTATTAAACTACCATAAAAAGAAGTCCACATATCTCCCAGTTTCTGGCGACCACCTTGAAATATTGCACGACGGTAATTCTCATTGGCTATTAGTATTTGCTTTAAGCAATCAAATCGTTTTAAAAAAATGCTTGATTTACTCTATTATAATCATTAATTAAAGCGATAACTTTTCCATTTGTCTTCTTAATTTTGTTGATTAGGATATTAATTTATTTGTATACAAAATCCAAATTATTTACTGGTAACATTCTTACTATAAATTTTGTTCCCTCATAAAAACATACAACCAAGAAAGCCAATATAGTTGT